TGTAAAGCATTTTTCCTGCTCGTGCCAACTTTTCACAATGCCTTTGGAGTACAAATCCACAGTGTCATGAGATTTTATGCCAGCCTGACCTTTAAGCCTCAATAATGATGCTAACTTGTACAGCCTGCATCTGGCCCTAATCACTTGTCCATTTCCTAGGTTCTGCTGAGAGGTTTCACATGCGCCTAGACCAGTGGTTCTCAACCTGTGGGTCAGGACCCAATTTGGGGTCGAACGACCATTTCACAGGGGTCGCCAAACAACGCAGTCCACCATTTTCTTTCCCTTTTCCTTAGCTGTGCTACTCCCTTTTATTCTATTGGCTTTTGAAAGCCAATAGAATAGACTCTCTTGAATAGAGTCTAATTTTGTTGGCTTTCAAAAGCCAATAGGAATTGTCCAGGCTGTCTCTGCCCTGCTGAGCCTGCCAAAAGTCCCATTCTGCAAATGGTGCTGCACCAGTTGAGTAGTCCTCGACTTACGACCGGTTGGGGATCACGGCATTAAAAAGGTTGAGAACCACTGCTCTAGACAAACAAAAGGCAAATCAGGTTCTGATTCTTAAACCCAGCAGTGTTAACCTTTGATGAAGCCTTTGGTTTTGGAAAGATGACAGGAAGACCAGCTAAGGACATAACAATTCTGGCAAGAAGTCATGTCCCAGTAGATCTACTTTGCTTTAAAATAGCATGGAACAAATTTTTTCATAAAGCTTTAAGGATATTAGAAACCAAACATGAGTCAGAAAGAGAATTTAGAAGCATTGTATGAATAGTGAGTAGAATAGAAACTTATTGATTCAGTCATCTGACCATATCAGAGTATGGATAGTGCGAAGTTAATTCTTTTTCTGAAGAAAGTGCAGAACTATCCTTTTCTGATTTTTTTTCTTTTCCAGTTGGGGAGAGGGGGAGGGGGGGATTAAGCAAATTAGGGGTGGAAAAAGCCATCAGAATTGGATGGCAAGAAGTCTTTAAACATATATGTTCACTTTTTCAGCTTTCAGGTATATTGTACCAAGTCAGCTTCTTTAACCAAAGATTGGCAATGAATTAGAGGAAATTGCTCACTTAATAAATAGGCACAGGAAATAATTGATGCTAAAATTATGATATTTTAGAAAGAATAAAAACTCAGTGATGGCCTTTGCAAAACTTTTATACTTCTTTTTACGAAGCACAATACCTAAGTAGATAAGAATGACCTGTTGTACATCTGAGTTGTTAAAATTCTAGCTGGTGTCACTTTGAAAAAAATGGAAAGGAAATGTAGGGTACCATTAATGGGTTGATATTTTGTGAGGCCAGAGAAGATAAGAGATAATCAGTCCTAAAAATGCTAAGAGCTATTTCATTTTTTTTTTCTAAGCAGGGCATTGAAGAGATTTAGGAATTTGTGGTGCAAAGAGTAATTACAATCCTAGTGAAAATGTCCAGTGAGACTATACCTCTTGCTACATGTGGAAAGAATTAAATTCCATCAGAAATATTTCTTATGCAATGCAGAATTGAAATGAACTGTGGCCTGCAGATGGAAAGGAGGAGAAGGGAATCCTTTTGATGAATAAACTGACCACTCAAGTCGATTAAAAAAAGTATAAAACAAATTAGTTGGACATTGAAAAAACAACAAGAATATACATTGGCTGGTTTATCCCATTAGAAAGGCTCACTGAAGAAAGAAAGAAAGAAAGAAAGAAAGAAAGAAAGAAAGAAAGAAAGAAAGAAAGAAAGAAAGAAAGAAAGAAAGAAAGAAAGAAAGTCAAATTTGTGCTTCTCCCACAAGCTTGAAGACCCATCCAAATTTAACTTTCCGATGCATGGCAACCTACCAGGAAATGCTCAGGTTCCATATACTCAGCAAACAGCCCAACAGCCACTATGCAATCCTATTGTCAGGCTGAAGAGATAAAATACCACACAGTTCTGTTCAAGCTGATTTCTTGGACTTGCTGTGTGACATTGACAAGTCACCTTCTAAAATTAGCACACTCCGATAATGAGTCTATCTCCTTCTGCTAACAATGTTAAATCTCCGGACATAGCTGAGCAATCTGGCTCTCCTTCAGTAGAGCAGCCAAATGTCTGACTGCAGCTTTTTTTTTCTCTAGCAGGGGCATGGCAGTGGAATGGGAATACGATTTATAAGGAGGAGGAGATGTCTAGGACAAAGTTTATGAGCTCTTTTTTAGAAGGTTGTATTACTGGAATGACTTACATGGGTAGCTGTAGTCAGAAACATTTGCAATCTACACCAGTGTTGTTCAATTTTGGCGACTTAAAGATGTGCAGACTTCAACACCCAGAATTCCCCAGCTGGCTGGGGAATTCTGGGAGTTGAAGTCTGCACATCTTCAAACTGTCAGAATAAACAAACACTGGTGTAGATTATCCTCCGTAGAAGGCAATTTAAGAGCTTAAAGTCAGACCTGCCAAAATATTTTGTGTTGATGGAAATTTAGGGAGGATTGGTGTCCAAGTTTTATCTCTTTCTTTTCCCACAGCAGGATCACAGGTGAATCTTAACAATGCATTTATTCCCTTAATTTATAATCCTCATTTTTATTGAACAAGCTCAACAAGCAATATAAGAAGACTGAAATGGCTGGGGAAAATAAACCTGCAATGAATGAAGGATCACCCTTAAAGCAATAACTAAAACAAACAAACAATTGAGATAACCTAACCATCTTCCTCAGAATAACTTACAGAATCAGCATGCATATCACACCTCTGTACAAAATGCTGGATTAAATGGGTGTACTACCTGATGGTGATTGGGTAGGGAGGCCACCTGAAATCCCCTTTGCCTCAGATCACTAAAATAAGGAAAAGGATTTTCAAAATCTCAGTGGCTTGTAAAGGAAACTCATGTTTTTACATTTACTTTTTTTTAATTATCTGGGTAACGTATTAAGTGGTTGGTACTCTATTACAGGATCTGGACAGACTTGAACACTGGGCGCTATCTAACAAAATGAAATTCAATGGTGAAAAAAGTAAGGTTCTACATTTAGGCAAGAAAAAACAAATGTACAGATATAGTATAGGGGGTACCTTGCTCAGTAGTAGTAACTGTGAGAGGGATCTCGGAGTCCTAGTGGACAATCACTTAAATATGAGCCAACAATGTACTGCAGCTGTCAAAAAAGCTAACACAATGCTGGGCTGCATTATTAGAGGGACAGAATTAAAATCACGTGAAGTATTAATACCACTTTACAATGCCTTACTGCATCCAGTTTTGGTCACCACAATGTAAAAAAGATGTTGAGACTCTAGAAAGAGTACAGAGAAGAGCAACAAAGATGATTAGGGGACTGGAGGCTAAAGCATATAAGGAATAGTTGCTGGAATTGGGTATGTCTAGTTTAATGAAGAGAAGGATGAGGGGGGACATGATATATAGGTTTGGCTGAAGAATACCTCTAATAAACTGTGGTCAAAAGCCTCACATTATCTGCCATCTTCAAGTGCCCTTGATCAGAACCTGTAATATACACTTGCCCAACCAATCCCTCCCCCTCCATTGGGCTTACAGGTAGTCTTTGATTTACAGCCATTCGTTTAGTGACTGAAGTTACAACAGCACTGAAAAAATGGTCACAAGACCATTGCAGAATCCCTATGGTTATATAATCTTGACAACTGATTCATATTTATGATGATTGCAGTGTCCAGGCATCATGTAATTACCTTTTGCAATCTTCTGACAAGCAAAGTCAATGGGGAATCCAGATTCATTTTATAACTGTGTTACTAACTTAACTGCAGTGATTCATTTAAATCAGGGGTCCCCAGTCTGTGGGCCGCAGCCTGGTACCGGGCCGTAGCATGCTGGCCACTGGGCTATGGGAATGGCTGGCAAGTGTACACATGTGTGCATGCACCCTCCCACTCACATTAGCACCACCACACAGGCACTACAGCCCCATTTGCACATGCATGGGAGCACTAGCACCACCACCACCATCACATGGGCACTAGCAGCCTGTTTGCGCATGCACATGGGCACTATCATTGCCACCAGCATTGCCACGGGTGTGTGCATCCTGCTTGAGCATTTGCATGGTCCCTAGCACTGCCACCATGCACGTGGCCATTTGTGCATGCACATGGGCATGCACACACATTTCCCTTTCCCTCCAGGTTGCCAACCTAGAAAGGTTGGGGAGCTCTGATTTAACTGTAGCAAGAAAGGTCATAAAATGGAGCAAAACACACTTAACAAGTGTTTTAGCAACAGAAATTTTGGGCTCAATTGTGGGGTCATAAGTCAAGGATTATCTGTATATTGAAACTGGGAAGTGTGAAAGGAGATTGCTCATTTGTGACTGAGATGAAGAGAGGATCAGTTCTTCTTTCTACAGTAGTGTAGGCAGTGTAATAGAAATTTACCTTGCTGTACAACTTGATCAGAATCCCCCCCTCCGAATATTGTGAATATGGCAGGGGCGTAGAATTTTCTCTCATCTGCTTACATCCTGTGTCACTTAGTTGACCTAACATCCAAGCTTCCATATTGGTAAGGGAGAGGTTTGGGAGCTCAGGTCTGCAGAAGTAAATTAGGATTTTCTCCTCCAGGGACAGATCACTTGTTTTCTCCCTCTCTCCCACCCTCTCTCCCTCCTCTGTCTCCCATCTGAGTGGGAGAAATTAAAATATCTAATGGCCCTCAGAGCAGATTCCCAGAGTCCATATTATTTTCTTTCAGGACTTTTTCTAGGTAGAAAACTTACAAAGACCAGCCATGTGGACTTCTCTGAATATATTGAGGAGAATTCGAGAATCTCCATTCCCTGTAGAAATGGGGTCCATTAAATTAGGACACCTGAAATCTATCAAGGTCAAGATAACAACACAGGAGAAAAGTATGCATAGATAAACTTATGACTTGGTCCGATATTCTTCTGACTGCTTGGAAGAACATTGATTACCCTTCAGAATAATATTATTCATCTAATTTCTGTTCCCCTATTTCCACCCTAGCTTTAGCAGAAGCAAATCTGCTTGTACTGAAGCTTGCACTAAAACAAACCTTTCCTCCCACTGCTGTTCAAGGAACAGAGATGGTGAAATATTAACAATTTCACACCTGCCTTCATTCCATGTGCTCTGAAGGTAAGCTTGTATCCCAAACAGTTCCATCTGGTTCAGATTGCTGGCCGGGGCTCCTGATGCAAAAGAAAAAAAAGAAAAAAGAAAAAAAACATCCAGGCTTGTTTTACAAACATCCTGGGAGGCTTGAATGCTGTCAGCATTCACACTGGGGTTGCTTGTGCTGCCTATGCAATCAGATGTTGTTGCAGCCACTGAAACATTTTGAGTCCCAGATCCAAAACATCTGCATTGCCCCACAGTTTATTTGCAACTTCAATTAATTTGCAGTATACAAGTAGAGCCATCAAGTCTGTTTGCTGAGGACAACACTTATGCATAGAGCTAATTGAATCAGCAGAAGTATCATCAATGAATACTTAGGATTTGATCAGAGTTTAGATATAAATTAGATTAAAAATCAATGCAGTCCATTAACTGAAAACCGCATGCCTGTGTCCTCCCCTCCAATTCCTTAGAGATTTGCTATTCTTTCTATCTTCTTCCTTTGCGTGGAAGTCTCTGTATCTCAACTCTTAAACTTGTACATGCTGGGGCTAGGAGTATTTACCTAGAACTAAATCCTATCAAACTCAGTTCAAGATCTTTGTTAAAGAAGGAAAACTTCCCTGCTTTTTTTCCTGCCTATTGCAGTCCTCTCTGCCAGGACTCAAAAATTTCAAGAGAGGATTAGGGGTCCCTCATAAACACTGGAGAATCAAGGAAAGGAAATGAACTAAAATTTCCTGCAACTGGCAGGAGCTTTCTGAGCAGAATGACAACTAAAGCTAACAGTGAGTTGAGGGGAAATTTACTCTCAGGAACGTGTGCCTATGATGGTGCTTTCAAACAAAGAACTACAAGCATATACTCTTGAAGATCATAGGAAACATAAAATAAAAGCAGCTTGGCTGGGACAGATCAAAAGCCTCTCTTGTTCTTGCATGAACAATATTTAATCTATCAGATGTTTGTGCCCTTCAGTTTTCAACAGCTCTAATCAACTTGGCCAATTGTGAGGGATTATGGGAGATGCGATTCAGTAACATCTGAAGGGCTATGCATTGTTCAGTCTTGCTCTAGTAATTCAACAATCATTGAAAACAAGAACCACAAAGAAATTTCTGGGAAATTCACAGCTGTAAATATAAATTTGCCTTGCATTTATACTAATCCAACTGGCCTGTAATTACCATCTTTTTTATATATATCTGTCCCCTTTTCAGTCTTATTGCACAAGGGTCTTCAAACTTAGCCCTTTTATGACTTGTGGACTTCAACTCCCAGAATTCCTCAACCAGGCATGCTGGCAGAGGAATTCTGGGAGTTGAAGTCCACAAGTCATAAAAGGGCCAAGTTTGAAGACCCCTGTTCTAGCATTACTGCTGTCTTCCATACTTTATCAAAAATCACAGAAAGGGGTTTCAAGATTATATCCAAAAGTTTATATTATAAACTTTTTCAAGATGTTCAAATCTAATGGGTTTAATCCTGAGTATTAAACTTGTTCATGATAGCCAGGTGCTCCCTATGTCTTTACTTAGCTTGGATTACTAATACCTCCAAGTAATAAATTGTTGTGTAGAAGCCCATTTGAACACAGATAGTCTTTGGAGACCAAAGAGAGGAGATCAAAGCAAAATAGGCAATAAAAATTCTGCCCTCACAAATCACTTGCAACCAGCTTGTTTCATTATTCAAACAGCAGATCTGCCCCTTCTTTTTTCCTTCTTTCTACTGACATTTTTTGTTCATTTCTTTTAGCTTTCCTTGAGAGGCTATATTCCTTTTGCCATTCACATTTTCTTTCTACAAACATTATCTACCTGTTGATATACTTTATTGTTTATTACATCCATCATTCATTTTATATACATGCCTCTTTTAATTCATGTCATTCAAACGCACCGTTGCTTCTTCAGCAAAGCTTTCTTTTATATATTAATTATTTTCATTTTACTCATACTTTTGAGTGATATACCTGAAACCATTGGTAGACTAATGGATCTTTAATTTAATACTCTTTTAGACTGAATCTCTTTATAAAAATTGATCACCTTAAAATCCTCCTGTGGATAGAGTCAGTTTTTTAGTAACAAAGTAGAGTATGTTATTAGATCAGTGTTTCTCAACCTTGACAATTTTAAGGCATGTGGACTTCAACTCCCAGAATTCCACAGCCAGCAATGCTGGCTGTGGAATTCTGGGAGTTGAAGTCCACATGCCTTAAAATTGTCAAGGTTGAGAAACACTGTATTAGATTATGAACAATTGTATTCTCTATACATTTTTCAGACTTAACTCATCAGTCAAGAAGAGTTTTATTTTATTTTTAAACTTTGTATCTCATTACTCCTGTTTCTTTTAATTCTTCCAGCAGATTCTCAGAAACAGGCAATTCAAATATGTCTAGCTATCCCCCACTTTGTGCTATAAAGAGTAACACAAATAATCTATAGCTGCAATTTTTCAGTTTTCTTTCAGGTAACATTTCACCTCTGATGTCTGAAGTTGTTAATATTTTCCACAGGATGCCTCTCTAAATATGCCATGATGAAGTTACCTAGTCAGGTAATAAAATGTCTGTAAGCAAACAACTAGCTCAACTACATGTATTCTCTTCCAATAGTCAGTGATGAAAAAGGGATTACAACTCAACAAAGGTTGGAGGAGCCCAAGCTCCCTACCTCTGTTTTAAAGACATGTTCAAAGCTACCTTGAGCACAGCAAGACCAAAATATATTTTTGTTTGAGATTCTGCTACAGTGATTTTAAATAAGATACAAGTGTTCTACCTCTTGCTTCTCCTGTTCAATTTCTTTTTAAGGAAACTTCTTATCTTCATGAAGTTCATCTTTGGAAAATTTAGTTTTTTGGATGATATCTATTCCCATGGACAAATTGAGGGTGAACCTTGCTATCCTGAGGAAACCATGGACATGACTTGTTGGAATGTTGTTGTTGTTGTTGTTAATTGCAAAGTCATGTCTGACCCATCGTGACCCCATGGACAACATTCCTCCAGGTCTTCCTGTCCTCTACCATCTTCTGGAGTCCATTTAAGTTCACACCTACTGTTTCAGTGACTCCATCCAGCCATCTCATTCTCTGTCGTCCCCTTCTTCTATTGCCCTCAATCTTTCCCAGCATTAGGCCCTTCTCCAGTGAGTCCTTCCTTCTCATTAGGTGGCCAAAGTATTTGAGTTGGAATGTTATCAGTCAGCTGTATTTTTCAATGATCCTGGAAACCACCTTGATAGAAGTTCCAAAACCAAAGCATATTTAGGTATTTTTTTAAGTCAGTGAAGGCAAAGGATGAATGAAGGTAATTCTCTTATGTGTCCTGCTCAGAATCAAAGTTTTTCATAATATTCTCCTTGCAGCCTGGCAACTTTGTCATGTGCTAGACAGATTTCAAAGTAAAAATGGATTCTTTCTTCTGCAAAATGCTTCATTGCGAAGAGGCAGTTCAGAACTTGACAGGTCTAACTGCAAATGACCAGATTCCCTTTTATGGCTCATTTTATGGCAGTGGTGGAAAGAATTGGAGGAAGAATCTCAATTTAAACATTTGTTCCCCTTCCATAAAAGTTAGAAGGAGACTATCTAATCTCCCTAGCTGTCATCAGGACTATATTTTCTTCTAACAAAAAGTTGATTATATTAATCCCTCTTCCTTCTTCTCACACCCAGCAATAAGTTCTAACACATTCAATTGGAAAGTCATTATTCCTTGCTTATCTTGGATATCCTGGATATCTCTAATTGATTTATTTTTGCTGCAAATGTGTTACAACCTCCCTCAAAACATAAAATTGATGGGCACATTAAAAGCAAATGTTAAAAGAGCTCAACTTAAAGAGTTTCAGCAAAGTTAGGATGGCAAAGTTACATTTATCAGCTGGACAAATGGCTACATAATCATGACACCAAAGTATCAGTAGCCAAAGAGACTTGGAAAATAAAACAAAGTAGGTTGGTTGAAGAAAGGAAAAAGAAAGAAGTAGAGTGTTTGAGAGGGAAGGATAAGATGGAATCAATATTTTTGCTAGTATTTTCCTTCATAGCAAATGGGAAAAAAATCAACATATGAAATGAAATCAACATATCCACACAGCCTAAATAGCAAGACTATGTATTAGGGCTGTATTAAGCATAACCAAAACATGTTGTTAGTTTTAAGCTGCCTCTTGTCTCTTTCATACACACATGAACAACTGCATGCTCAACAATGTACCTGCAGAGCAAAGGCAATGAGTCAGATTGACTGGTATATTAAGTACTAATATTGTCATTACATGATGTATTTATATTTGCTCTGTTTGAGAAGTATCCATGAGCATATATTTTCAAGATGACTGCAGTAACAGAATGTGAATATTCTTAGAATAAGAATCTTGCTTGTCTTGGCTTATTTATATACATATGAATTCTGGACAAGCAAGTTAACATAATCTTTCTATAGGTGTGGTACATATAAAACAACCCTTACCGACAGCGCAAGTGTTTCTCAAATACTACAGCATTACACATAAGCATGCAGAGTCCTCTCTTCCCCAAATCTCAGCATTATTCATTGCTCCTAAGTGATGGTTGCCTCACTCTATCTAATAGTAGAGCAGACATTGTGAAATGAGGGGTTTTCATATAGACAGTTCCCGATACTATAAAATATTATTTTCTTTTTTTCTTGATTTTTAAAGGAAACATGAGTGTTAAAAAGAGAGGATAGTATTGTCCAGTCTTCCTATCAAATTCTGTGAAGGCTGATGGTTTTATAACAGTCTTGGTATTCTCTTCACTTCTGTAGCTATGTAGAGTATGTTTTACTTATCATTTTCCAGTCATCAAAACACTTGATTATCATAGAAAAACATGCCAGAACTTGTTTTCTACAAACAGCCAAGGAATAGGCTGTGATGGGAAGAACAGACTTTGTAAAGTTATTAAATTCCCTTAAACCCACCTGGAATTAAACTGGGTGAGAGAAAATAGAGGGGAGTCTAAGAAAGAGGGACAGGAAAAAAGGATCCCAGGAGAGACTGAAACATCTGCTTAACATTCATCTTGGAGAGAAGGGCTTTCTTAATACCTAAAGGAAAAAGGAAATTGATCTCCCCCTTTGTCCATATAAGCATTACATAGAAAAGATGTAGAAGAAAAATAGTGTGTGTATATATACCTATTTTGAATGTACAGTAGCCTTAAATGCTAATGGAAAATAATGGATTGAGCATTCAAAATATTGTTCAGATTGGAGGCTTTACAATGCTTCCTTTATAATACCTGCTCTCAGAGGCCAGTTCAATCAGTGTGGGATCATTAGATTAGAAATAGGTAGATATAAGACATTAACACTCTTTAGAAGGTGAAGGCCACCCTCTTGTGCAAATCAATAGAGGGTTTCAGTGGAAAACATAGAAAACTAAATGGCCTTGTGCATATATAACCTATATTTCAAAGCAAAGTTGAACTTTTTGAAGTCAAGGTGTCACTTAAACATGATAGCAGAACTTAGCTCTCTTGGGTATACCTGATTTTGAGATAAAATTCAGAAGACTTTTTTTCTTCTGCCTCTTACTTGGAGCTCTTCAAGCATTATCCATTCTTTGTTCAATGTGCATACTTGTACGTCAGAGCATGCCCATCTTATTGCACTGAGGTAACTCAGGAGAAAATACAGTAAACAGTGGTTTATATTACACTATATCTACAAATATACACTAGAAATAAATATATACACATGGTGAAACAGCAAACTTCAATATACAGCAGGTACAGCAGAAAACGTACGAGAAAGACTCCAGCAAGGCCTTTCCTTTTATACTCAAACTCTTAAAGGGATACAGACTCCTGCTGAGTCATTCCTAACATTGCATCATTCATCTCACATTATGCAAGCTGGTTAGCTTCTAAATCATTACCTTGACATTGTAAATAATCACAGAAACACTTATTGAATTATAGAAATCAAATAAATAAAACAATAAATAAAATAGGTCCTCTTGCAAGGAAGATTGGTATACAAATAAAACTTTACTGTTTCCCCTGGTGACTTGGGGAACATTTCAAGCTACTGTACATCAGCCTCATACAGTCTTTTTCTTCTTCCAGGATAGATGCTCAGGAGGCAGAATTTCTCAGTCACACCACTTCATCCCCTTTTATATCCTTCTGGTTACCTCTTTTATATTCCCATTTATGTCATCTTTGCAAAAGAATCTTAAGTTTTAAATACAAGCAACAATCAGCAATTGGGCCATGGAGCAGAATGACAATGCTGCATTCTAATATGTAGCCACGTCCACATCAAGAAAAGATCATTTAATTTGATTTGATTTAATTAAAATATAGTATAAATCAAATTAAGTAATTACAGTTGCCATGATTAATTTCCATTAGATATCATGCTAAATTCACACTGGCCATTTTGAGAAGTTTTTGAGATCTCTGCAATAGAATCTGGCACTGAGATACAAAAGTAAGAAATAAAGAGAAACATCAACCTTAAATCATTTCTTTGGAAGAAGCAGCTGAGGAGCGACTCTCCCTAATTTCTTTTCAGCATTTATCAAATAGTTATATATAGTGTACTTGAGTCTGGAAAGATCTTGTCTATGGGCAAGGAATTGCTTTGAGCTTTCATGTCTGTTGTTCTTGGCTTCTTGCACCTGACAATCTCTCACCCAATTTTTATCTTTTTGACATGCTGTAACTTTTTCCTAAACCCCAGAACCCTCCAATAGCATTTGACACATCTCCCCATGTCTCTGGGGCTGGTAAGAATCATCGTGTAAAGCATGTGAAAGAAACCAGCCTGGAAAATCCTGATGAAAGAAACCAAGGTCATTTTAGCTTTAAGATATGGAGCCTTAAAGGTGTTTTCTGCTTTTTCTGCTTAAACGTATTTTTCTGCATTTAATGCATTTCTGCTGAAATGTATTCTTCTGCATTTACAGTCTTAACACACTGGAGACTTGGTATAGAAATTAAAACGTGTTTGTTCCCTGGGGAACTATGTAAACCCCTACCTTTGGGGTGATTGATGTCTAATCTAGACTTCTACACAAGAAGACAAGGTTTCAGTTCAATACTCACATCAAAGGGGAGCAGGAGCTCTGACCCTTCCCCCCCCCTTTTTTCCATCAAACTCCTGCTGAGGAAGGTTGCATTTTGTAATATAGGTGGAGAAGTCAGTGAAAGCAGCCAGGCCTGTGAAAATAATAGTAATCAGAAAGCAATGTAGAAGAACCTGTCCAGCAGCAGCATTCCTCTTTGATTGTGATCAGACACTCAGCCCATCAGGCATTTTTAAGAGCCTTGGCTCCCAGCAAGCGCTTACCTGTGGCTCTGCAGGGAGTAGAGCCTTTAACAGAAATCAGCTGTCAGTCACCTGCAATTCTGGAAGGACTGGCTATCCCTCCCTGGCTCCGTACCTTTTTTCCTGCCAGCTAGCTCTTCTGAAACTGGCATGCCTGGTTGGAATAGTCACCTGTCAGGCGGTAGACACTGCTGTTATCCAAGACAACAGCTGCTGCTGTCGATCCGCTTTACACAGAAAGTTATTTGGCAGGTGGTGGGTCTTTTCCATTTCTAGGTTAGCGGCCGATTGTGGTATATTTTCAGTTGCTCCTCCTAGTCTCCATCCCTCATTTTCATTATAAGACTACATCATCTTCCTTGATTCATCAAGGCATTTCCTCCTTTCTCTGTGCTGTTGCTGTGGTGTTGTATTGCATTTGTTGGCCTCCTTTTCTCCTGGGCTAAGGATGTTGCTTGCTCTCTTTTCACAGAGTTATTACCATGCATGTATTGCATGGCCTGAATTTAACATGTTCTCTGATGGCACTCATACGTTGTCCTGACATGTTACTTCTCTATTTAGTTTTCCAGGCTGACTTGATTGATATGGATAGGAAATTTTTATTTATTTATTTCAATATTCTGCCTAGAATAATCCTGATTCCCAACTGTTCCTTAGTTTGAAACAGGAATCCCCAACTCCCAGTTCATGGATCAGTACTGGTCCACAGGCCGCAATCCATTGGGAACTGGGTCACACAAGTGGCAGGTGAGTGCATGAAGCTCCATTTGTGTAAGCTGCAGGTATGCGCATGAAGCCATCCCTTCACACACACACACACACACACACACACACACACACACACACACACACACATACACACACACACAGCCACCACTGCTGCTGGTTTCCAGAGCCAGAAAGGTTGAAGACCACTGGTTTAAAAGACTCTAGTGGTTTTCATCTTTCCAATTAAACAAGACATTCTAAAACTCTTTTCTTAACAGATGTAACTTAAGAAGAAAATGTTGAGGAAGGAAATTCCTATCTGTTAGTATAGTGTAATGTTGGAAGTGACAATGAATAAGCTTTATCAACAAACTGAAAAAAAGCAAAAAAAAAACAAAAAAATCTGGCAGGGGATCATCAGACTATTTATTGGCCATTTAACTTGGTGCATGTGCCCTCTTCTCTGGCCCCAGGACACCATATTACTGGTCATTTTGATTGAGAAGCAATATAATTCTTTCTAACAGGATTCGGCCCATGAACTTGTCGGGTCTCTGAGCCAGCCAAGCCCAGGCTCAGATTCCTAGATCAACCTGAACAGGCTTTCACCAATATTATCAACATCAGATCCTGTTCAGTAGACTCAGTAACTACAAGATGCAACCCTCCCTGTGACTGTTAGTTCTTATTTGGGCTTCCTTTGATCCTATGTTTAGTGCTTTTCTAGAATAGCTCTAACCCTGAATTCAGCATTCACTGAACAAGGATTTAGTGATCTTCTGGCTTAGAACAAAACCTGTATTCAACTGCTTCTAATGTGAGTTTAGTGATCTTCTGGAATAGCACAAAACATAATTTCATCTCATTCTGAAACGGCCTTAGACCCAAGACCCAAAGAAATCAAGGATCAGCTAATAAACTTACTTTGAATGCATCCTTACTTAACAAATGACTAAACCCACCTTCTCTCCAGACCCAACCAATGTTCTGAGGAATAACTGGTGGAAATTTTCCCACCAGCTGGCCATTGGTGGGAGAGATGGGGGGGGGGCTTCATTAATCCCTGTTCTTAACATGCCTTTCACTCTGTAGATAAGAATAGCAGCGTCTGCCAGCCTCATGCTCGTCATAGGATAGGGATCACCAGGGGAGCAGCAAATGTTAGGCTTTATCGTTTTCTGCCAGCTCAAAGACTGATAGGACTTTTACTCAGCCACAGAGAAGTTTTCTGGGATACAGAACTCAGAAATAAAAAGCCATTATTTAGTGGGGCAAAGCATCAGAAGAAATTTAAATAGCTAAACAATAAGCAACAAAATATATCCAAGAGACACAATGCTGTGCAAAGGGATTCTGGTTTTTTTCTCTGATGTGTTTTATTAAATATACATTCTATCAGGGAGTACTATGTCAAATCTTCAAGCTCTTTGGAGAAAAGGCAGATGATATAGAAAGACAGAGTTTTCCAGACCAAGTAGAATTCTCAGTTATGATCCCCCAAAGCTCTATAAAGCAAATACTGCTTTGGAAAGGTATTTTACTTAGAATATCATCTTTTCATATGAATGCTGAATTACACATTATTAATCTTATGGTAGTGGAGATTTTTTTTTCCTTTATGTTTGATGGATAAGCAGCTGGATAAAAAAAACATAGGAATTTGTTTTTATATACGATAATTACACTGAGACTTTTGTATGCAAGGAAATAGAAAGACTTGCAGATTCTCACAATGGGAATGGGGAAATTACTGGAAGTGGCCAAGATGGCAAAATTAGATTTTGTCTAGCTTCATTTTTATATGGAAAGTACTATTGGTAGAAAGCAAAAGAAATGTTATATTATTGGGGGGGGGGCATGATTAGAATTGTTTATTACTATAAAAATACTGTGTAATATTGAAATTTAGATCAAAATATTCATGCACTGAAGAAAAATGGAAATTACTCTTCTATTTTGTTTTGTTTTTTCCCTTATTTCTTTGCACATCCCCCTTTCCTGTTTTTTTTTTTCATTCTATTTTTTTCTTATTTCTTTATATTTTATCTTTGGTAGTAATGTAATAAAGCATATTTTTTTAAAAAATCATTCATCTTATGATAAGGATTGTATGTCTTTAAAAATAAGTCTATATAAGCATTACAAACTGGCAGATTTGATTCAATACTGGCCATGATTAATTTTTAAAGACAAAAATAATGTATAGAGAGGAACATTCCCTAACAAATCAAATCCCAAGATAACACCTTAGCAAACATGATATCTGTTTTTTTTTTTTTGTTTGTTTGTTTTAAAAAAGGTCTAGCAGCTTATCTTAGTCTCTCCCAATCAGGGAATGCACTAACTTGTCAAAAATATTAGACTGAGGACCACTTCAAATATTATAAACCAGTGTAAAGCTATAGGAATCATTAGGGTTGTTCCATCATTTTTTAAAAAAAATAAAAAATAAATAAATACTTTATAGGTTAATTAAACACTTAGCAATGTTACGGATACGTACTTATTACATAACTGTTAAACATGGCGTTTAGCAGCTAACTTTCTTATTAGAAAGAGATTAAAAGCCTATTTGAGAGGCATCATTTTTAAATGTCACCATACCAGTTTAACTAGATTTCGCGCTGTGCTTAATGCCAATAGATAGTATTTAAAGTAATAACAAATAAGCTGTCAGCTAGAGCACCCATTGTCAGACTTGCAGGAGAATCCACGTTCAGATTGTTCCAAGGTTTTTCTCCTCTCCTTCTACTCCTCTTCATTAAGAGGCTTATTTTATCTTATGCACATGGAGGAAAGATGTAAGTGCTGCTTGTACCATAAAAACAGTAGTCAAACAGTGACTACAAGTTTATGAATTTGCTAATCCAGGCATTATATAACTCTTAGTAGAGTGCTGAGCTCTGGCTTCTTGATGAGTTTAAATTTAAGCCAATTCCAATTACGTGCTCCATGCCTCCTTATGCTTGGAGTGAGAGAAAATAAACATATCTGGGCCTTTCTTGAAAAGTCTTTTTCTTTCTTTTTCTTTCTTTTTCTTTCTTTCTTTCTTTCTTTCTTTCTTTCTTTCTTTCTTTCTTTCTTTATTTCCTTCTTTCTTTCTTTCTTTCATTCTTTCTTCTTTCTTTCTTTCTATATTATTTCTTTCTTTTTAATTATGAAAAGCATGCCATGGACAAGATGGTTTTTTGTTTGTTTGTTTAAAAAGACAGTCAGTGAGAACAAACTTCATTTTGGTAAGAACACATCATGCTTTTACTTCTTTATTAAATTTATATGCCACCTCACCAGCCAAAGCAACTTTGGGTGGCTAATTTACACAAAATGATTTGGAAAGCACTTGAAATGAAATTCAAAGGTGTGTTTTCTTCCAAACACTGATCCAGCTAAAGACCACATTGTTTGTAAACATGTCTACTTGTATCTACAAATGTCACCAACTGAACAATAACTCTCAGCCACAACTTAAGAAATACATTCTAGAAACACTATGTAATGCCATGAAGAATGTTCAGATGACTTTGATACTCTTGTGATGAGAATATCGTGGTTTAAGTTTCCCACATGGAACCCTTTCTTCATGAAAAGCATTTTAAAAATGTTCCACCCATGATATCTGGAACAGCTATGATGCAAACAGCTTTGCCTCCAATGAGATAAAGAAGGAAGGTGAAAAATTGTAAAAATGGATGCTGTGACTCATTTGAAAGTAATATATGAAATATCCACTAGAAAACCTATCTACCTCTCGTCAACTGTGAAGGCTGTAAATGTGCCAAGTTTAGCATATGCCTCACTGAAGTTGTGAGTCTGACATTTGCTTCTGGGTATTTTAAAGAGCAAACAGACTAAATTTTATGCTCCCCTAGTGGAAAAGCTATATATTTAAACATTATCATAATCATCTCTTTTTCCTAATGGTAAAATCGAGATCCGGATGAGATTTTGTTGCCTTTTGTAGTGAGGCCCAGGAGAATTAGCATGTCTCCTGCTGGAGAGTACTTGATGCTGACAATCAAAAGTTTTAATGCCTCTCTCTAGTTGTCTCCTTAACAAAAGAAATGGCAGGTTACAAATGAGGAATCATGTCAGTTGGATTCCACACATTCTGTAAATCTTGCTTGGAAGCATCCTTAATAGTCTTTTCAATACCTAAATTGTTTATTAAGATACAAACTGAGCACATCCAGAGAACCAGCCTACAAAATGTCTACTGCTTCCACAGAAGATCTCCAAGGAGACTGGCACAACATTCAGTGGCTTAAAAAACCCTCTGACTCACTTCCTCCAATGACGTCACCCTTAGTTAACAAAACAGGGAAGGGGAAGAAAGAGACATGTTTGTTTACCAAAATATTTCACCATGATCATTTACAGTACATGTAATTTTCTTAACAAGCAGATACTTGTTGGCTTTTCTATTAAAGCAATCACTAATTGCTTTGCAGGGCAAGTGTCCATTAAACATCTCCTGGCCAACGTTGTTCATTCAAAATACAATGAGGTCGTTTAAGACTCTAGATCAGGAGTATTAAACTGCTGGCCCGCGGGCCGGTTTCATCATACTGAAGCCGTGCCCACCCTATTGTGGCAATGCAAAAAGAGTCGCGATACATCACTACATGTCATGTGACACGGCGAGTTTGACTCCCATGCTCCAGATTGATTGGTCATGTGGAAACACACTTTTTAGAAAGTGATCTGTGAGCATGTTCTTCCTTCAAAGTGAGATCACAGCCCTGCAGTGTTTGAGAGATCTCCTTCCCATTTAGCCAAGTAGAACTCTAGACTTCTGCCCCAAAGGCCAAGCCTGAATGCCTTACT